TACAACCACGAGCCAAGAATATATATCAGAGGACATTTGTAGAAGTAAAAGAAAAACCGGGAAAGGGGTCAAGGCGCTCAAGAGAGACCAAAATGGACGACGAAGCGGGACTCTTAATATGGCAGCTACTGAACACAGCAACACCGCTCTCTCTCTATTTCTTATTTTACAAGACATTATATATTTATAATATTGCAGGATGGTCGAATAAACAAAATATATTTATAAGGAAATGTTATCACGATGACATTTCGTTATAAATAATATTGCGCTAAAATAATTTTAACAAAAAAAAAATTGAGATATTAGTCCGTGGTACAGACAGATTTTTATCCAATCATTAACATCCACCCAAAACTTTGTAAATAGCTGCTTCTCTTCGTACCTACAACTATTTATGAAAATTCTAGGAATTGGAGCTTTTTCAAGCTGGAGACCAGCAAACTTTGTCTATTTGATTAGGTACTAAAAACTCGTAAATACCCATTTTCTTTCCACTTGAATCGTAAGATAACTTGAGCACAACTCGAGGAAAAAGGTGACCTTAAAAAATATCGAACCTACATTCCAAAGTTGTCAAAATAACGAGGTTATATAGGCCAAACGGCCCAATATTTTAGTTTTCCACCTTTATTCTCGATTTTGTGATCAAATTATCTATGCTCTGTCTTTCTTATCAGAGTGTATCAATGTCTTCTTGATAGCTTCCACAGACAATTACATCATCTACTCATTCAAGTATTTTATGATTCCAGCATGCACCCCTACATTTTCCATGAGGTGATGTTCTTATCAACTTCTCCAGTGCTATGTTGAACATAACGGAGGGTTTCTGCCGTTAGTTCGAACATTGAAGGTTTCAGATGGTTCTCCTTGTATTAAGATTCGACATTTAGGGTAATTGAACAAGCGTTCGCCAATCTCACCAAATACACACATAACAGGTTATTTTTTAAAAGCTCAACTAAGTAAAACTAAGTAAAAGTGAAAAACCTAAGTTTTCATTCATGTTTTAGGAATTTAACCGCGAATTATTTCTGCCAATCAACAGCATAGATGTATTTAAAGGCATGGATAATTGCATGTTTATTTATTAAATTATTAATAATCTAATAAGGTTATCTTTGTGATGGTTTGTGTGTAACAACCACTGTATATTCTATTCTATTTTTTCGATGTTCGAAAACGTGTATTATTGTCTGGATCAAGCCGTATGCTAATGGCTGACCGAGTGGTAAATCAAAAAGATGGTCCGTGTGTTGGTCGAAAATAACGTATAATAGTGAGAACTACTAATTAAATGCCAACGTTTCGATGCACATTCTAGGTCCTCATCAGGCTTGAAATGGTTTGAATAAGTAATATATGTGCACTCTCTTAGTACTTTTAAATTTAGTATCGTCAAATATGAAGTAGAAATGGTTTTATATTGGGTTAGCAAATAAGTCCTTTACTTTTCTCAGAGTGAAATAAAACTCAATGTATTATAGACATAACATTTATTTTAATATACAATATATTGACCATTATTTAATATGACTGTTTCCCATATTTCTACCAACTTCATAATACCATGTTCACAGAGTTTATTGTTAAAAAACTGATCAAAGTTGTTTTTGATATCCTCTTCCTTTTGGAATTTCTTTCCATTCGTGGAGTTCTGCAGAGACCGGAGTAAGTGGTAGTCACTTGGAGCTAGGTCAAGTGAATAAGAAGGGTGGGGCAAAAGGTTCCATCTAAGGCTCAATAATTTATTGCGAGTGACCGATGAGGTGTGGGGCCTAGCGTTGTCTTGGTGGAACACAACACACTTCCGATCACTCATAACTCTTCAGGATGTTCTCCAAATTCGATATTACTATATCCGTTGGAGAGCTGAATTATTGCTCTTCAAAACTGTATGAATGGTTTATTGATGTAATGCCTACATAAGGAATAAATAAACAAAAACTCCTTATAGGTTTTTATCTTCATTTGTAGTTTGTTTACGAAGGTTCTGTTGATATCATTTTGTGTAGTTAATGTGGGCATAAATTCCTGCTAAATTTCTTGTAGATAGCTAAATAGCTAGTATTGAAGTTATAACATTGTGATTTTCGACAAAAAAAAAAATCATGTGAGGGACCCAAACATTAAGCCTTGAAACATATTCGACACATTTAGGGCCATAATAATCTCTCACTGGGTGAGATTTTGATCAACAATGGCCTTAACATTGCTCGTTTCAATTTCATGTGGGCGACTAGATCGCTGAGCATCATTGATGCCAAAATTTCCTGAATAAAATTTGGCAAACCAATTTTGACAGGTGCGTTCGGTTAAGGAATCATCCCCATAAAAACCGCAAATTTTTCTATGAGCTTCTGCAGCCCGCTTACCTTTTTTAAAATAATGCAACAAAACATGCCGATAATGAATATTTTCTTTCATATTTACAGTGCAATAGCAAATACAATACTAAGCTACTTTCAACAAGAGTTAACAGATATAGTTGTTGACATATTACAAACAGGATAAACAATCCACCTTAGGGATTAATCCATCACATAAGAAGTGTATCATAGTGACGTAAAAATAAACGGAAAAACCGAAAGGACTTATTTGCTAAGCCTATATTTCATAGAATACTAAAGTTTTAGTATGTGTGGTTCCTTTGTTTAGCTTTTATCGGTCATGAATTCTGGGTATTGAGTTTTGCCGTGATTTTTTTTCCTCTATTCACTCCTCAACTTTCAAGTGACTAGATGAAAAGGACGAAAACAAAAAAATTGCAGTGACCTGTTTCATAATTAACCATGAGCACGAAGTAAAATGTAACTGATTAACAAATAAAGCTGAATTCATCTGTTTTGTGAAACCCGCTGTGAGAAAAAGGTCAGATAATAAGAGATTTTCCAGAATATTATCAAACAAAAAATAATAATAAATAAATCTAAGACCATAGTAGAATTCAGGTCACAGAAAGGTTTTTCTATTAATTGCTCGTCGACCTGTTCCTAAGCTGTTGGAACAATGCCAATGAATTCTTTGTTTATATAGTGATTTATAACTTGTACGGAAATAAACAGCAAACACTAATTTTAGAAATTTAATTTAATACAAGATCAAAGTAGGGGAAGAAAAATAAACAATGCAGTAGAAAAAATATTGAATTGTAAATTATTATTTAATTTATTCCAAAATCAAAAAAATATTTTGAAATATTTCAGTTCTCGTATGTAAAAGAAATTTATTTTTGTTAGAAATTTCACCCTTAGCATTTCAAGATATTTATTTATTTGGAAATATAATAATCTGTCATTGTAATAATTATAATAATCAATAACAGGTAACATAAAATTAACAAAAGTATAATAATAACTAAATAATAATAAAAAAAATATGTACAATAAAATAACCTAAAGATAATTAACATAAAAACACAGTCGTAGGTCACTTGAAACCTTAGGTTATTATATAAAAGTTTTTTTATTGTTGTTTTATTATATAGATGTCTTCAGATTTTAACAAGATATTTAAAACTATTAAAATCTGAAGACAAAGATATAATAAAAAACTTTTATATAATAATCTAAGTTTTCAAGTGACTAATAATTAATTTAAAACATTAAATAACGAGATAATATTTTACGATGTTCTTATGAACATGCATATAAATGATTTGATTGCATTATTTTATAATAGTTAAGGACGTTCATGATATCTTGTTTTTTTTTTCTTTCCAATTACTTGAAATACCTTGCACTAATATAAAATAATTTAAATACAGCTATAAAAACATAAATAATAATATACAGTTTATTAACAAATATTTATATATATTTTATCTTTTTCATTTCAACAATTATAAAAAAAATCAGAATTAAATTGTGTTGTGATTAATCAAACATTTATACAACTTTAAACGAACTAGTATCTAGTGTATATATTTTTATATATGGACTTTAATAGATAAGAAAGCATTAGTAATTAAAATTGTTTCTTATGAAGCAGGATGTATTTTAATTTTTTTTTAAATAAACATGTCCAGTGGCAACTCTTAATTTGTTTAAAAAATATGCTGGTTTAATTCATGTTTACTAAATGTAATTTAATAAAGTGTAACTTTATGGAACGCTATAAAATAAAGTGTAACTTCTACTAACTACATGAAATAAAATCATTATAATCAAAGAAGATAAATATACATGCATAGACAAAATCTTAACATCTAACAGGAAGAAAAAAATGTTCCGATTTCGTGTTTTTAATTAAATATCTTCTTAAACAAGTATTTCTAAACTACTAGATTAAAACAAAAGACACACATTTACGCAGTGTATTATTAATAAAATACCGGTTGACGCAAATTTAATTACTTGCAATTTCGTTGATATTCCCTTCTAACCCCCAGTTAAATTACGACCTTCATCAACTAGATTCCTCAACGAGCTAAAGGAGTAGAAGTTGACAGTTGCGATCTGTCAACAATCAATCAATGCATTCAACAATCTTTAATAATGCCGGATTTTTTTTTTCTTTCTTGTAAGTGAACAATCCACAAGATTGATGACATTAATTTACTTGTATACCAATCAAGTACTACGAAACAGGCAGTTTTACTTTGTTTATTTTATAATGTCATTCCTTCATGAATGCATTGTTGACAAGCTAGTCCATCGGATGATGAACAGGTTGCCGGCCCCTCTAGATCAAGGACAAGAAATTCATTAAGGCGACCCAGGTCCACAGAGTGAGCATTGTTGAGAGGAATTCTCTTTGTATAGGAGAAAGAATGGAGGAGGAGAGGGTATCAGCACACAAATAAACAATAAAAACTTATTTGATGGTAAATTAATGTTATTTTCAACATACATGTCATCGGTAATATTCTGGATATTCGACATGAATCTGAGATTATTAAAATGCATTCTCCTCTGACTGTATGTTCATTAAAGTAATAAAGGAAATTTTAAATGTCATATAATAATAACATAATTAAATAATTATAGGCTGGATGGTCATGCTTTGCATCGATGATGGTAAGGTAATGAGGAATACAAGTACCTATCCAATACACTACTGATATTTACAAATATGCTCAGACGACTGACCTTTTGGGCTTTGCACATGGTGTTGATGGCCTGTACGTCGTGGCTGGCGTGGCGGACATCCCTGCAGTGGGCACAGACGGCCTGCTTGCAGAGCATGCAGTAGTAGGACAGCGGTTCCTCGGAGTGGTCCATGCAGAGGATCTCCCTGGCGGTGTCCCTCGTCCTGAGGGCGGCCCTACCGGGAGCCGTCAGGGTGTGCTTCGCCAGGCCCCCTCTGGCCGGATGGCAGTTCTCCCTGCACTCGTCGCAGTAGTGCACTTCGCACTGCTCGCACAGGACAGTCGCTTGTCTTGCCGGTTCCTTGCACAGCTCGCACTTGGGGCTCAGCTCTTTCGATTCTCCGTACTTGTCAACGATGTTCTGCATAGCCTTGTATTTCGGCAAGTTGTGAGCTCCGTTCTCGTCAAAGTAGACAGTCTTGTTGCAAACTGGGCAGGCTAATGCCAGGGCAGAACTAGTCAACGGAGGGAAGAGTATACCCTGTATGTTCGGGGTGCCGACGTAGCTGTTCGGCCTACTGGTGCAGACGACTCCGCTGTCTGTCTCGCTGAGGATGGACAGTTTGTCAATCTCTTCTGCGAGAGGTTCCTGGGCTCCTCCGTTGTTCGCCGCGGGAACTGTCAAAGCTACGGCACAATTGAGACAGAGCGCGTGGTAGCATGGCATGAGGACGGGGTTATGGAAGAGCTCCTTACACACCGGGCACCGCAGTTCGTCTTCCATGGCGACCCAGTCAGAAGCTGATCATACAAAAGACAACGAGACCGCAGTAGCGGCACACAGGAAAGAACGATACACACTCCACCACACTCTAGGGCTGACTGAGGGGTGAGCGGCAGTGTCCTGGGCGGGAGGGGGGCCAACACAATAAGTTCCAGTGTAGCCAACTGTGCCCTGTGAAAATCCCGCTAACTCTTTCCCTTACCGCCGGCCAATTTTATCGCATTTTTCTCTCTACTAATATTATCGTCCAGTATAGAACAACCATTATACACCTAATTTAAACTGTAATAATGAAAATAAATAATCAGAGAAATATTTTTAAATTTTCAACATTTCAAAGAGTAAATTATAAAACCGAATTACATTTAATTTAAGATCTAACTCTTTTTAAAAATGAAAATGTCAAACAATATAAACCTTTAATATATAGGCTTATATTTTAAATATTATAACCTACATCTGAGATGCGATGGATTTTGATGAAAGAATCGAACGAAAGGAAATTTTATGAAGAAATCCCACTTTCGATTCTTAAATTCCCACAATACCTAAAATAAAAATCATTGAAAAAATTGGGAGGTTTAAAAAATCAGATGTATTTAAAAGTCGACAGATCGAAATTAGATAAATTGTGAATTAAAGATTCCGATGCGGCGACCAAGATTGATATAGTATCAATTTGGAATAACACGCCCTATGTTTTAAAAGCCTAAAATGAAATATTTTCGAGCTAAACCATAATTTTTGGCGAAAGCCTCTAAGATGATAAGGTTGTCATGAGATATTGATAACATGCTTAGGTTTTAAAAATTAAAATATTGCTATTTATATGGTATTTATGATATAAATATGTATTTATATCGTATTTATGATAGTCTTCGACGAACTGAAAATCTATTTAAATAGTAGATGGAGGAGATTATCAATGTGATTCCATGGAATTATACTTTGAATATAAAAAGTAACTTTTTAAAAATATTCAAATATCGTCTGTAATCACAGTAATACAGCTCATTATTCTACAAATTAGAGGAGAGAGAGAGAGAGAGAACTACAAATTAATGATCTAATGTAATAAAAATGTCTTCAACGAGTACAATATTGGATTAATTTAAGTTGAGGCACTAGCGGATCCAGCATTTAATTTTATTTTTTGGGGGGGCTTCAGCCTGAAAGTTTTTTTTTCCATATATATATATATATATATATATATATATATATATAACGATAATTATTTTTCTTAAGGAAAGAAATTAACTACCTATATGAAATAGTGTTTAAGTGGTTCTTGAAGTTCTATTAAATGTAATTACACGAACAATAATACTTTAAGAGATAGTTTTTTAATATTTTTTTCTATAAAACATGGTTATATTTTACCATTTGGGCAGAAGGGATTCACCCCGAAAGCCTCCCCTCTTCACCACCCCTCCCCCCCCCCGCCTGTGGGTTCAGGGATAGCTGTCATATTTCTTAACTATTAAATTGGAGGGATGTTTTCCAAAGGGAGAGGTTAATCACTTGTTAAATAAATTGTTACTAAGATTTTTGTGTTGAATAGACTACTTCGATAATATTATAATGTATATACGAATTAACATGTTTAACCGATGTGGCTAATACGTGGAATGCATTAGGGAAAGAGATAGCTATCTAATGTGATAGTTCTAACTGGACTATACCAATAATAACTATAACACGACTCTTTTTATATAAACAAAAAATATTTTACACATACAATGAAATTATTTTTTGTTTATTACATTGAAGATCAATAGTAAAATTTTAAGAAAAATAATAGCTTTATCTTAACTCAAAATATAGCTATGGAATCTTACATCAAAAATAATGAATATAGAAAGAAAGAAGAAAGAAAGTAAATTTTATTCTGGGACGTTTAGCCCCACGGGCGGATCTACGGGGAGGAGGAGGGTTTTCGGGCTGATACCTCCCCCAAAATGGAAAAATGTAACCATGTTTTATGGGAAAAAAAATTTAAAAAATACCTCTTAAAGTATCATTTTTAGTGTAATTACATTTAAAAGTACTTAAGGAATAACTTAAACACCATTTCATATAGGTAGTTAGTTTTTTTCTGTTTTTCCAAAGTAATTATCGTTATTTTTATGAAAAAAAAAGGTTTCGGGCTGAAGCCCCCCAAAATTAAATCCTGGATCCGCTAGTGTTTAGCCCCTAAGAATAATAAACATGTACAATCATGATTGACTATAATATAGATTTGTCATGAGGGCGGGGTGGCCGAATAGGCTAAAGCGTGTGCACAGCACCGCTAGTTGCCTGGCAACCGGATAAAAGAGATTTGAGATGATATAAAAAGTACGAGTTCGCGTCCCGGTGCCGGAGGGGATTTTAAATTCCCCGCCCTCACTCCCCCGGCCCGGGAAAATCCCGTATAGCCTAAAAGGCGAGGTAGGGAAGAACAAAACAAAAAAAAAAAAATATAGATTTGTCAGGCACATAATGGCTGACAAATAATAATAATGCTACAAAGTTGTGTAATATTAAAATTAAGATAAAGTCCTATTCTAAAGATACATATAATATGAAGAAATTATGGATAAATTGATGTTCATGTATTTACATATTTGAACGGTAAGCAATATGAACAACAGTTTTGAATTAACAGTAAAATCAAATTGGTAACATATTTAATTCTTATAAATATTCGGAAGATGGATGACAGAGGAGATGTAGAAACTATTATTTTTTAAATGAAGACAATGATGAGGTTTTCCGTTCATATAGTGTGAATGTGGTCATATCTTGCTATAATTATTGTCCATGTGACCACTAGCGGATCCACGATTTAATTTTGGGGAGGGGGTTTACCCGAAAGCTTTTTTTTTCATAAAAATAACGATAATATTTTAGAAAAAATAAAGAAACTAACTGCCTATATGAAATGGTGGTTAAGTGAATCCATAAATCCTTTTAAATGTAATTACACGAACAATAATACTTTAAGAGATAATTCTTTAATATTTTTTCCCATAAAACATGGTTATATTTTACCATTTGGGGAGATGAGGAGGGGGGGGCCTTCAGCCCAAAGCCTCCCCCGTAGATCCGCCCGTGCATGTGACAGAATATTATATCAATAAATAAATAAATAATAATCACTAAGATCAATGACGACATGAAAGTTTCTGTTAAAAGCGGAATCCAAACCACGGCCAGCTATATGAAATCATACAAATAGTAACATTATTAAACATTTTTTTCAGAGTTTTGTGGGATTCTTTCATGTTACCCCATTTAAAGGGAAAATGCTCCAAAATATAAAATAATTACTTATTCCATTACACTAGCGGATCCAGGTTTTAATTTTGGGGGGCTCCCCCCCCCCGTAGATCCGCCTGTGTTCCATTATATAAAAAAAAAAAACAACCGTTTTTCTGTAGATAAAAATGACGAGTATGTAATATAAAATTATTCTTGAAATTCAAATTTTCTTACTTAACATATTAGTATTTTTTTTTTCTTATCCACCATTTTATTTTTTACTATTTACCAATACGTGTTCCAAAATATTCTTATTTATTTTTTTTTTCTCCATTTATTTTTCAACAATTACAAAAAAAAAATATTCGCATCCGCCAATGAATCTATATTACTGTAAAAAACTTTCAAAATTACCCAGAAAGGAAAGTAAATTTTGATGAAAACGTTGATATAAACAATATTGACATTCTTTGTTATTGTTTTCGGCTAAGAGGAAAAAAATACAGTACAATGGTTTCTTAGTATTTCTTATTTTTTCTCAATATTTTGTCTCATCCCACGACAAATTTAAATTTATTGTATTTAATTTAATCGATTTTGACAACATATTCTTAAAATTGGTGAGATGTTTTATTTAAGATATTTTTTTTTATTTTATGTTAATTCTCTATTTATTCCATTAACGAATATTTTCTATGAATTAAGGAATTCATTTACGAAATTGAATATATGGGTTATTACCCATTTATACCTACAAAATAACAACATACTCTTAAAATTAGTAAGATGTTTTATTTAAGATATTTTTTTTTAATTTTATGTTAATTCTCTATTTATTTCATTAACGAATATTTTCTAGGAATTAAGGAATTCATTTACGAAATTAAATATACGGGTAATTACCCATTTATACCTACAAAATAAATCTGATTTCATTACTAGCAGTAGCTACGAGCTAAGTTTTTTTTTTTTTTTTTTTTTAAATATCTTTGTAATTACAGGAACAATAGTACTTTTAGGGATAATTTCTTTTAATATTTTCTCTAGCCACGTGCTTAATTTTCGTAACTGAAGTATACACAAGAACAATTAAATAGTATTTTAAACAATCTAATTGCCTTGATTCGATAGATTTTAAATGCGTTTTTCTTCAAATTAAAAAAAAAATGTAAGATTACATTCAGAAAGAAAATTTCATTTAATTTTCTTGGATGACATTGTCTTCATTTAATTTTTTTTTTAAAGTTTGAAGAAAAAAGCGTTTAAAATCTACCTAATCAAGGCAATGACATTGTTTAAAATACTATTTGATTGTACTTGTGTGAAAGAAGAAGTGAAATATAATTTCATTTAATTTCCTTAGTTATCCTTTGAGACAGATTGTAATAATTTTCAATAAACAAGTTTAAAAAAAAATCCTTGGAAACATGTGATTTACGTTAAATAATGTTAATTTTCTGAAATTATTATTTATATTTTTTTCGCCACTTTCTGTTACCTTCAACAACTTTATTTATTTGAAATTATTTTTTTCTAAAATTCTCCACTTTCCAACGATATATTAAACATATACCATTTGACTGTTACTTGCGGATATTCATTTTTAACGGGATTATCATATTCTTTCCAACTTCATATTTGGCCATTTTTTATAGCTACTGTCATAAAAGAGAGTTAATTTTTTAAAATAAACCATATTAAAGGTACTTTAGAGAAAGACGTATATGAACATTGAGCATTTAAGACCTGTAAAGTGACATCAATGGGGATAAGACCTAAATAATATTAAAGACCACTTAATTATACAATGATACATCAAGTTTAACAGTTTAATCAAATTACCAGTATTTTTTGGATTTAATTTTTTCTTTTTGGCAAATTTTCAGAAATTAAACAACTATAAACGTTTATTGACAAAAGGTCTTCAAAAAACTGTCGTAAGGTATTATATGAATGTAATTCGCCAAAATCTCACCCTTCTGGAACCAAATTTAGAAGTTATTAATATTTGAACTATTATTTTTGTAATTACTCATGTATTAAAAATGTAATATTCTATTTTCCCTTCAGTTTTATTAATATATTGTGTTTGTATAACAATGTATAACTATTATTGCAATATAAGTCCCCTACATAAGAAAAAAAAACGTGCATTTTTTCCATTAAAAAATATATATCATTTAATAAAAACATTATTTTTTTACTAAAGCAATATATCGTTAAATAAAAACATTTTTTTTTTCTAAACCAATATATCGTTTAGTAAAAATATACATATTTTTTATTAAACCAAATTATATACAACAGTTTGCTTGAATCAGAATTTAAAAAAAATAATGTCTCGTGATGATATTAAGAAATAATAATACATTGTTAAGACTTTAAGATCTATTTCTTAATCTATAAATCTATTTCCATTTTTTCATTAATATATCATATATGATGGAAATGGCCTGTAACTATCTATGCAAAGAACTCAGTAGATAAGTTGGTTTTTTTTAAAATACTATCGTTTTTTTATTTATGTTTTTAATAGACTTGGTTTATTTAAAATTAGGTTAGGTTTACTAGAAGAAAAAACCTACCAAACGTACTTTACTATAGAAGAATATTACAAAAATACTGTTATAAAAGTGTTGATTTTTATTCCGGAGGAGGAGGGGAGAAATGAAAGAAAGGACTGCAAAAATCTTGTTTAGCCAAACTAAAACCCCCATACGAAAGAGTCCGGAACTAATTTCTGATCATAAATAAATTGAACTTAATTTATTAAAACTTACTAAATCGTTTTCGTAAACATGAGCATATGCCGGGAGAGGAAGGGTGGGAGGAAAACTTTGATCTACTCCTCCTAAATATTTTGATAAATAATTAAACATAATATAATACAAAAAGTTTGCCGAAAATCTAAGAAAAATAATTAATAAAATCTAGAAAAAATTGTTATTCTATTTATAAAAAATTTGAATGAATTTTTTTTTTCTTGTTCTTCCCTACCTCGGCCTTTAGGCTATACGGGTTTTTCCCGGGCCGGGGGTGAGGGCGGGGAATTTAAAATCCCCTCCGGCACCGGGACGCGAACTCGTACTTTTTAAATCTTCCCAAATCTGTAATCCGGTTGCCAGGCAACTCGCGGTGCAGTGCACACGCTTTAGCCCATTCGGCCACCCCGCCCCCTAAATTTGAATGAATTGTAAAATCATAAATTTGATATAGAATTATAAAGTTTGAAATCATTTATCTACCTAAAATATTCCTTTATTCAGTCTTGTCCCCCCCCCTTCCCCTCCTAATATAAAAGCTGTGCAGCCCTTGTTCATAGAGATTAAACTTTACAAATTAAAATAAGCATCTAAAGCTCAGCAAAGTCCTTTGGCATCGTGCGATATAATATTACTTTTTGTGAGCTGCTGTACTTCACGCCACAATTCAAGATCAAAAATTAGATTTCGTATGAGGTACAACATAAGTGTTATGTAAAAAACACCGGATTTCCTTTTTCAATTTTTAACCATAGGGGATGAAAATAACTTAAAACGAGCAATAATGATAAGTAAATTCATTTTAATCATAAAAGTTGTATATATGTCCACAAGAAATCACAATACATACAGAAACATAAAACCCGTAAAATATTTTCAAAGTTATCAAGAAATGCATAACCTTACCGTGAAGTAACACAACCTCATCACAGTCATCAGATGTTTATTGGAATGCCGTGTTAGACCAATACAAACTTTTTCAGTTACCAATTTGAGTTACCATTCTAAATTTTTGTGTTTTTTAATATAATTTAATTATTTTTAGACAAGTTCCTACTAAAATGTTTTCAAGAAACTGTTTTAAAATAAAAAAACAAGTTTGTGTTAAGCAACATTTGAGAACATTTAAAGATGAAGGGTGAATATTTGGATTCTTCATAGTATACGTAATTAAATGATTATTTAATTAAATAATGAATTATTTCTCATAATTATATTACTTTTAACAATAATTGGTATTCAATTATAAACAATTGTGTTGAAGCAAATTAATTATTTTTTAATTGTTGTCATAATGAATACAACTAAATAATATATATATTTTTTTATTACATTTATATTCTGTAACTAAACAGAGTTAAGTTTAAACCTAGTTTCCATATTTATTTTCTCTTGGAATGAACTCCTGCTTGTTACGATTGCTCTAAAGTTAGGTACAAACCTCCAATGGGCTTTTCACTCATTGTCGGAGCTTTACCAAATGGTTTAATCAGGGCCTCGTACACTCCAAAACACTCAAGCCATTCCCCAGATTCCATTTATGGTGTTATCATGGTCCAGTGGACAAGGGGAAATGACATTTGTACAGTGACACCATCTTCTTTAATATGTTAAGAATGTTGATTTGTTTAATTAAGTATTGGCAAAAATAAGACCAAGGCATTTTGCATAAATGGATAATTTTTTTTTTCTGTTGGCTTTACAGACCTTATAAATGTTTTCCCATATTAACCAGACTTCTCCATCTTAGTCTACCTAGGACTATGCTTTCCAGATATCTACATGCAGCTCTACAACGTTCTTATTCATTCAATCCATTCATCTGGTTTTGAACTTCCAAGTGGTCTCTTGCCCTACACTTAAGTCTACTCTTAGGAATGATTTCCTTCTATGTAGATCCTATTATCGGGTTGATTTTTCACGTTACTACCATATATTTTGAAGATAAGGATGGTTGGGATGATCAGTCAAAATAAAATAGTAAATATAAATAAATACAATTATTTATTTTTACTGATCCCCCAACCATCAACCTACAATTATCATATATTTTGTTTTATCTTCATTTACTAATTGGCCTATTTGCTCTTCTGCTATCAGAGTCTTACTTCATTGCAATTTACAGAGCCTATTCCTCTTGAATGCTTCCAAGGACAGCTATGCCATCTGTATATTCAAATATTTAATGATTCATACAACAATTTTCACTTGATATTGTTCTTATCATTTTCTCCATCACTAAGATTGGTAAGAGTCCATATAGGAACAAACCAGTTTGAATTTTAAAGGCTGCAGATACTTCTCCTTGTATTAGGAATTGACATTTAGAATGATAGGAACCAATTAATTGCTTATAATTGACTTTTCTCAAATATGATAGGAGACATAACTTTTAATGCACCATATTGTTCATAAAAGAATGAAAATTATGACATCACAGATTTTGTTGCATGCAGTTTTTCACTTTTATCTCTGAAAGCAATGGATTGAGGCTGGAACTCATCTCTTGCTATTTACTTTTCTATACATGTCCTGGCTTAATTTCTTACTTTTATATCCTTCTTTACTTTGCAGTTGTTCCATCATATGTCTTCTCTTTTTTTCTCTGTGTACATCCTTTTCTATCCTTCTAGCTTTTTACTCTTTCTGAGCGGCCTTATTACATTTCTTTTTTATCATCATTTGATATGTCTTGTTCTTTCTATCTGTTATTTCCTGCATTTATCATCAAACCACTCACTCCTTTGGTTGTTCAATTTCCTCTGCAGATGCAGTAATTCTTAAGGCCCAATAGCTATGTACTTCCTGTCCTACATTGTCAGAATGCCTGCTTGTTACCATTTTCCACTCGGTATCTTCTCCAAATTTCTTTACTATACTCTCTTCCTCAAGCTTCTCTGTGTTATATCTAATAATCTTCACATTTCTATAATAAGATATCTTTGCTCTCAATTAAACCACTAAAAGCAAATGATTAACACTAAACACCCTAATATCCTGCAGATCAGATCTATGGCATCCTTTAATTAGGATATGGTCTATCTGGTTTACTTTGTCACCACTTGGAGGGGTCCATATGCTCTTGTGTATATCTTTGTAGTCAAAAAATGTTTCCACTATTACTAGGAGGCTCTGAGCAACAACAAAATTCTGGTATCGGAAATCATCAGAATGTTTAGAGTACAGTACATATTTCTAAATGTTACTGAATAGATGTTCCTTTCCTACTTTTGCATTTAGGTCACCTATTATTTTTACATCCATAGCAGACCCTTCTTTCCATTACATCATCCTAACTTAATTTATCTGTTTCTTCTACTCACTAATCATCAGTTGGAGCACGCATGTTTATTATATTATAATTGAAGATAGTACCTCTCATTCTTATTTTACAGGTCTTAGGAGACATCTAATTTGTATTTGAGAGCCTCACTTGATAAAGGCTTCAGATCTATATAGGGAATGTACATTCCATTTTACAAGTCAGATGTCGTTTTTACCTTTTCATAGATCCAACCTTTTTTCCAATATTTGTCTGAGTTTAAATTTTAATTTATTAATTTATAGAAAATATAAAAGTTTCATTATTTCTATTATATAAAAAGATTTTAGTGACTATCATATTTTATTTTCCAATCTCAACAAATTAAAATGCTGAGATTCTCTCCATTATATAAAAAAATTATTGTGACTATGTGGTATTTTATTTTTCAATCAACAAATTAAAATGCTGGGATAAAAACTTGAATTGTTTTTTCCCCTGTTTACACCATATTGAAAATATAATACAATCTGAACTGCAGAATACGTGTAAACTACAGTTATACAATTTCAGCAACGGATAGTTCAATTAAATGAACAGTTGTATTAATTTGTAAAATGGGCATTGGTTCACCGATAAGCGGACAGGGTACACCCCTCTAGTTTTTAAAAAAAATTATTATTTCATTGATTTTTATTATTTGTTTTTAGTATGAAAATGCTTCAATTTGGATTGTTTTTTGTTCAGTTTTTTACAGTACTAAATTATTGCAAATTAAGTGATCAATGATTTGTCTGTAGTCAGTAGTAATTTATATTTTAATGGTCTTCAGTATCATAGTATCTAAAATTTAGATCCATATACTCAGCAGTTCTAATCAAACACCGTTCTACTCACTGAAGATTAATAATTTCACTTTAATATATCGTGAACTGATTCAGGTCATTCATTGGTAGTGCAATATAACCCCTTTAAATTAGATATCTATAACTAAAATATAACTGGATTTTGTTCATTCTCCTTCAAGATAGTTCATATCTCTCAAAAATTGATAAATTTAATATTAATTTAAGAAGTTTATTTCAGTTAATATTTCTCTAAATTTGTTTAGTCTAATAATAATAAAAAAATTACTGGCAAAATCTAAATAAGATAAATATTAAGCAGTTAACTATGATAATAAAAAATTAAAGTAATCTCAGTATTTTTCATTAGGAGTCATTCCATGCCAATTCATCCAGGGCTCGTTACCTACCCCCCTCAGATCTTAATGAAAATTTGTAAATATACAAGTAAGTAAAAATACCAAATTATGCCCAATTCTAACGATTAGTTATTGAATTATGGACATTTAAACTTATAAAATATTTTAAGTTGGGAAGACATTTTGAGTTCAAAACCAGCATGTACCTGGTATGTTTTCCTCCGTAAAACCAATATTTATGGACCAAGAGCTTTCGACATTCTTTCATTTGTCATACATTTAATACTGAATCTGCTGATACCATAAGTTTTACCATTATAATTTTTCTTCATGTATAAAAAAATTCTTACTCATAAATTTTCAAAGTTGTGATAAAAATATAGAAAACTACCTGTAAATAAAATCTCTCTCCAACCATATATTAATGAAAGCAGCATAAAATTCTCTACCAAATGCAAAAATAATATTAGTGGGCTTTTGAGAGATTATAGTAATTTTCACTTGTATATAAGATTTATAAATTAAATTTCATTAAATGTATTAGGTTTATATTGTAATATAACACTTCAAACTCAAAATCCTACTAATATTATTTTTGCATTTGGTAGAGAATTTTATGCTGTTTTCATTAATATATAGTTTTATTGAGGTATCCGGAGAGAGATTTTACCTGCAATGATACTTTTCAATATCGATTAGTAGCACACCATTTACACGTCACGCAAAAAATCATTTGATTTACATTATAATAAATCTCTTGTAACTCAAAATTCCATAAATATCATTACATAATCTGATAGAAAATTCCATGTTATTTTCAGTAATATGTGATTATATTAGGATATTTGGAGAGAGATTCAAGTAATTTGTAACTAGTAAATTCAAATTTACTGTATTGGGTTTAAAATGTGATAAAACTCTTCAAATTCAAAAGCCCGCTAATATTATGTTTGCATTTGGTAGAGAATTATATGCTGTTTTCATTAATATATGGTTGTATTGGGGTATTTAGAGAGAGATTTTAGTTACAAGTAGTTTTCTATATTTTTATCAAAACTTTGAAAATTTATGAGTAAGAATTTTTTTATACGTGAAGAAAAATTATAATGGTAAAACTTATGGCATCAGCAGATTCAGTATTAAATGTATGACAAATGAAAGAATGTCGAAAGCTCTTGGTCCATAAATATTGGTTTTGCGGAAGAAAAGATAACAGGTACATGCTGGTTTTGAGATCAAAATGTCTTCCCAACTTAAAATATTTTAAAAGTTTAACTGTCCATAATTCACTAATCGATTAACTAACCGTTAGAATTGGGCTTAATTTGTTTTGTTTTTTTTACTTGTATATTTACAAATTTTCATGAAGATCTGAGGGGGTTAGGTTACAAATTGATCTGGTGAAATCTGGATGATTTGGTATGGAATGACCCTTAAATATTTGTTGTTCCTTTGGATGTATAGATCTTCCTACAGTTTTCAATTATCTATATTGTGCCTACTTTTTATTTAATTAATGGAAGAGTTATTGAGAAAACTCAGTTCCTAACTGTATGATCAAATCATACAAAATTTGTTTTATAATGTGCCAATAAATGAAAATTACGAATTACAAACTTTAGATAAATGTATAAATCATGAGCATCCTTATATTTCATTTGGACTGAGTTGC